GCTTGCTCTCTAGTGTTCGAGCCCAGCCCACCCAGGAACATCACCATCAGCTGACCCACTGAAGGTAGGGAGGTGGGGTGGGCTCTGGAGTAGAGCAGGGGATAGGGCATTCGCCTGGGGAGCACAGGTTGGTGGGATCAAGCCCTGCCCACCCTAGGAGCAGCCAGACAGCCAACACAGACACCCCAGGGATGGAGCTGACTCACATTAGGAAGGCAGGACAAGGGATCTACTGAACATAGGGATCAAGCTTGCTCACTAGTGTCTACTTTATGGAAAATCCATGTAATTAAGTGAATGGACGGTAGGCTCAGGTAAAGGAGATGTCCATGATCCTGAGAGAAAAGGTCCCAGATTAGCGAAGTGAACCTAGAGGTTTCACTGACAGTGCCAGGACAGTGGAGAACCAGTGCTGGGGCTGTGAGTATGACTCTGGCTTGGTCCTGTCTTATCTTGCGCAATATCCTGTGAATGAGTGGGACTGGTGAGAAAGCACAAAGTAGCCTACCTGCTCATGTCAGTAAAAGGGCATCTGTTATGAAATATGGGCTGACACACAATAGAGAGCAAAACTGCTGACACTTTCTGCTGGAGTTTATCAGAAATTGGGTCATATGGGGAAACTCCTACTGCTGGAAGATACATCTGACCAAATGTGGGCAAAAAGACCACTTGCAGTGATTCAAACTATCTGCTCAGATGATCTGCTAAGTTGTTCTGTATGCCCTGCAGGTATGATGCTTCTAGGCCAACTGAGTTGGCAATACAGACAGATACCAATAGCACCGTCAATACTTGACAGACTCGAGGAAAACGGGCTGTCCTCTGCTTTAGAAGGTAAATGATTGTCATTGGGTTGTTTGTGAGGACTAACAGGCTGCTTCACCAAACTGCATTGAAAATACCTGGCACACACCCCATTTTGAGAGCTTCAGTTCTCTGACAATGATGTATAAAGCTAAGCACTCTGTGATTCTCAGACTCTGCATTTGACAATTCAGTTAGGGTGGACGTGGCTTATGACTGAATTGACTGTGTTAGCATTGGTCCTCCACATAGTAAATGTATCACACTCATCTTTGCTTGTTTATATATACACACACACCTGCCCACCCAGAGTTTCCACTTCCTGAACCTGACAAAGTGGGTTCCCACTCACGAAAGCTTACGCCCAAATAAATGTGTTAGTTCTAGTCAGTTAGTTATGAGCAAAACAGTCCTTTTAATTTCTCTCAAGCTCAGGTCATACCATATGAAGTTTAAGAGTTCATACAACAATTGAGAAATACTTACGAGGACGTGTGATAAAACCAAAAACAAATTTTAGAAAGCACTTACTTGTCTACTATGTACTTCACATTGCTGTACATACTGCGATCATCTCGATCTTTGTATGGCTCAATATGAAAAGTGACCTGTAAAGTGAAAAAGCAATAAATGAAATACAAATTATTCACTGAGGAATGTAAAAGTCATTAGGTGCTATTTCTCTAAGACCTATAAGGCACACCAAGAGAGCTCTAGAGAGGGACTCAAACAGCTCCACAATGCTATGTGTAATTATTTCAAGACCATTATTCCTGAATACTGATGCAAGACTCACTATTTTTAGACTGCCAATATTCAACAGATTTAGTTAAAAAAAGAAAAACTGTACAACTACTCTCTTGTGGTCCTGTTCATTGTGGATCATAAGCTAAATATGAGTCAACAGTCTGCGAACAGGTGATGGCAAACAGAGAGTTTAGAGAGGGAGTTCTCCAGGTAAGGAAGAAGTAACTACAGGACTCTTGAGGGAAGTGGCTGTGTGTAGTGTGTAAACCCTTTTTTAGGACAGCAGATATGGATGGTGATAGTTTTGCTGTTACCTTGTCCTCCTCCCAGAAGAAAGAAGGGATCTGCACTAAGTGCAAGCTGGTCGCCATTTTGGAAGAAAAAATTAGAGGAGTGGAGGCCCAAGTGTTGACCCAACGCTTGATCCGAGAGGATGAAGACTTCCTCGATAGAAGGCAGCGTTTAATCCTGCAAGCAAGGCAGGCAGAAGAGCCAGAGAGGGCAGTACAGGACGAGGAAGAGAACTGGCAGCATGTAACTTCTAGAAGGAAAAAAAGTCAGCACGGGAATCCCTCATTCCTACAGAGGCAGGAAATTGCTTTCAAGCTCTCTCCACAGGCTCTGCGATGGAGAATGCTTTGGAAGGGACCTCACAAGGAACAAATCGGAAGGGAACCACTTCAACTGGAATGCATGGGATGCATAGTCCTAGAGATGGGGGTTCCATGACAACTACCCCCAAAAGAAGAAGGCGGGTGGTGGTGGTCGAGGACTCCCTCCTAAGAGGGACTGAGCCATCCATCTGCCGTCCGGACCTGGCATCTTGAGAAGTGTGCTGCTTACCAGGAGCTCGAATTCAGGATGTGCCTGAGAGGCTTACAAAACTTATCAAACCTTTGGATCGCTACCCCTTCCTGCTTCTCCATGTGGGAACCAACGATACAGCCAAGAATGACCTTGAGCGGGTTACTTCAGAATACGTAGAGTTGGGAAAAAGAATCAAAGAATTCGGAGTGTAAGTGGTGTTCTCATCCATCCTCCCTGTTGAAGGGAAAGGAGTGGGTAGGGATCGTCAAATTGAGGAAGTAAATGTGTGGTTGCACAGGTGATGTCGCAGAGAGGGCTTTGGTTTCTTTAACCATGGGACTCTGTTCCGGGCACAAGGATTCTTAGGTAGAGATGGGATCCACCTAACAGAGAGGAAGGAGCATCTTCGTGGGCAGGCTTGCAAACATAGTGAGGAGGTCTTTAAACTAGGTTTGTTGGGAGACGGTGACCAAAACCCAAAGAGGAGTGGGGAAGTTGGATACCAGGAAGAAATGCAAAGAGGAACGAGCAACAAAGGAGGACCCCTGATTCGAATGCAGAGGGTAGGGTGATCAACTGGTTATCTAACATGTTTGTACACCAATGTGAGAAGCCTGGGTAACAAAGAGGAAGAATTGAAGGCCCTGGCCCAGTCCAAGAACTACAATTTGATTGGGATAACAGAGACTTGGTGGGATGACTTGCATGACTGGAGCACTGTCATGGAAGGGTATAAACTATTCAGGAAGAACAGGCAGGGGAGAAAAGGAGGAGTTGCACTGTATGTAAGAGAGCACTATGATTGCTCAGAACTCCAGTATATAGAGGGAGAAAAGCCTATTGAGTCTGTGGATCAAGTTTAGAGGTGTAAGCAACAGCAGTGATGTTGTGGTTGGCGTCTGCTACAGGCCGCTGAATCAGGTGGATGAGGCTTTCTTTGGACAACTGAGAGAAGTTTCCAGATCACAGGCCTTGGTTCTCATGGGCGACTTTAATCACCCTGACATCTGTTGGCAGACCAATACGGCAGTACACAGACAATCCAGGAAGTTTTTGGAGAATGTTGGGGATAGCTTCTTGGTACAAGTGCTACAAGATCCGACCAGAGGCTGTGTGCAGCTTGTCCTGCTGCTCACAAACAAGGAGGAGCTAATAGGGGAAGTAGGTGACAATCTGGGAAGCAGTGATCATGAGATGGCAGATTTCAGGATCCTGACCAAAGGAAGAAAAGAATAGTAAAATACACACCTTGGACTTCAGAAACGCAGACTTTGAAGTAACTGGCTCTAAAGATATGGGAAAGTCAGTGGATGTGATATACCTTGACTTTAGTAAAGCTTTTGATATGGTCTCCCACAATGTTCTTGCCAGCAAGTTAAGGGAATATGGATTGGATAAATGGACTGTAAAATGGATAGAAAACTAGCTAGACTGTCAGGCCCCAAGAGTTGTGATCAAAGGCTCTGTCAGGTTGGCGGTTGTTTTCTAGCGGAGTGCCCCAAGGATCTGTTCTTGGACCGTTTTTGTTCAACATCTTTATTAATGACCTGGATGAGGGGATGGATTGCACCCTCAGCAAGTTTGCAGATGACACTAAACTACGGGGAGAGCTAGATACGCCGGAGGGCAGGGATAGGGTCCAGAATGACCTGGACAGATTAGGATTGAGCCAAAAGAAATCTGAGGTTCAACAAGGAGAAGTGTAGAGTCCTGCCCTTAGGACGGAAGACTCCCAAGCATTATTACAGGCTGGGGACCGAATGGCTAAGTAGCAGTTCAGCAGAAAAGGACCCGGGGATGACAGTGGATGAGAAGCTGGATATATGAGTCAACAGTGTGCCCTTGTAGCAAAGAAGGCTAATGGCATATTGGAGTGCAATAGGAGGAGCACTGCCAGCAGATCCAGATAAGTGATTATTCCCCTTTATTCAGCTCTGGTGAAGCCACATCTAGAATAGTGTACACAGTTCTGGGCCCCCCACTGTAGAAAGGATGTGGATGCATTGGAGAGGGTCCAGCTGAGGGTGACCAAAATGATTAGGGGGCTGAAGCACATGACCTATGAGGAGAGAGTGAGGGATTTGGGTTTGTTTAGTCTGCAGAAGAGAAGAGTGAGGGGGGGGGGAGGGGGTTAGATAGCATCCTTCAACTTTTTGATGGGAGGTTCCAAAGAGGATGGAAAGAGGCTGTTCACAGTAGTGACAGATGCCAGAACAAGGAACATTGGTCTCAAGTTACAGTGGGAGAGGTCTAGGTTGGATATTAGGAAAAACTATTTTACTAGGAGGGTGGTAAAGCACTGGAATGGGTTACCTAGTGAGGTGGTGGAATCTCCATCCCTAGAGGTTTTTAAGTTTTGGCTTGACAAAGCCCTGTCTGGGTTGATTTAGTTGGGATTGGTCCTGCCTTGGCCAGGGGGCTAGATTTGATGACTTCCTGAGGTTTCTTTCAGCTCTATGATTCTACAACTTGATGACCTCTTGAGGTGCCTTCCAGTTCAAGTATTTTATGATTGTATGATTACTTGTTTTATATAAAAGATTACTTACCTAGAAAAGGAATAAGCATGTCAGAACTACTAAAATACATAGATAGCTATATAGTGTAAATTTGGTTAACCAAACCATTATCTATTTGCATGTCAAAACTGATTACAACTATTCAAAGGTTTTTATGCTCTACTTCTAAACAATATATTCTTTTTGTTACAGATAATAATTCTGCAAGAGAAGCTTTCAGTGAGAAATTAGATTTTAAAATGTAGGTTGTGAAAACTTTACTTTTAATTTAGAGTTTTATAGATTTATCAACAGCAATAAACATTGAGGTACTAAATTTAATATAGTTCCATTGCAACTTCTGAATTTCAGGCTTGGGGCTTATGAAATTATTTATGTTATTCACTTCAGCTCATTTTAAACTCAACTCCATTGTTTCAACTACTCAATTAAAAAGAAGAATGTTTTACATCAATGTGAGTAGTTTTTTCAGAAGCAATTTTTAAGCTAGAATGCATTTAACGCATTTAATGAAACCAATATTCAGCTAGTCTCACATGAATTTGATATTATTACAAAGATTTTTTTTGTCAGTCACCAACTAAAGTGAATGATTAGGATTGTTAAGTTTTCCCTCAACTATCCCATTATTTCTTTTTCTTTTTTTACTTCAAGTCCAATAAAGAAACAAATCGAACTTGACAAGGGTACCGTTAAACACTATGAGTTTGTTTTTCCTCTCTTTAGACGGAAAATATTTTCTTTTGTATGATGATTATAAGTTTAACAACTAGTCTGTCACCTTTTACTCTAATAAATTTTGCATTCAAAGTCTAAAGATGGTTACAAAATACTAAAAATTATGTTATCTGCACTATTTTAATAGTTTAATTACTTTCATAGCGTACACTACATTTAGGCCTTAACAGGAAAAATTTGACATTATGGCAACCTCTAAAAAGTTTATGTGCAGGTTCACAGTCACTATGTATGACTGCAACCCCAGGATTTGATCCAGTCTTTACAGCAGTGGAGCTGCAAAGTTATCTGCTCCATAGTTGTGATTCAAGATATAATTTACCTTTGTCATGATTCACTACTTAATTTTATAATGAATCTATGTAAATTCTCATTCCACTTCCTAAATCTCAATAAAAATCTAAAAATTCAAATTAATCTGACATTCTCTCACTTTTGTACACTATATACAGACTTTAATGCTATAGCACAAAGGCAAAAATGAATTATTTTAAATGTACTAGTTCAGGTAGCTATTACAATTGAGTTGATAAATAAAAGTTCATCAAAAATAAAAACTTAGGGGCACAAGCAATGAAGAAAGAGGGAAAAGCTCAAAAGACAATAGAGCTATTCACAGTGGAAAGTTGTTTTATGTGGTCTTTGTAAGAAACGTAGTGAGCAATAACATGGAAATGGAAAACAAGGGGAAGCTGAAGCCAAAAATAGGATGAAAGAGAACATTTTCTATTGATTTAAAATTCTGATGTAATGTTTAGCTTCATTGATTCTAAGTGCTAACATAACAGCTAGAGTATTATACGTTTTTACAGAGTGCGAGTGATTTAATATAAAATTTAAATAAGAAAATTTAAGATGTGAAATTAGAAACAAAGTACATAATTATTGTTATTAATACTTGTTGTATATATACACACACACACACACACACACACACCCTGCCATCTGAGTGCAGGTCTGGCTGAACATGTAACTAGATGTAAGTAGGACCTTTATTATCAGTCAGTATGATTGGGAAGATGGATGCAAATTTAAGTTGTATGTAGGGACTTAGCAAGCAGTATGCT